CTATTTTTATCATACGGAGAATCATATTTAACGTAGTGGCCTTTGTATCTGCAGGAATTATTTTGCAGAAATCAGGTCATACACCATTTTATTTTTCTTCTTTATTATTAATAGAGCTTTTTTCTTTGCTTTTAATTTATTTTTTTTCTTATCTGTGTCATCTTTTTCTGAATAATAGAACAGTGGTTCTATGCCAGTAGATAAAATATGAAGCAAGGCATCACATGTTACATTACTTGTTTGGCTTTTATCCCTTGAAAGCTTGAGGAATCTACAAAATCCATGTCAGCAAGGAAGTGCCATTATTTGTATTTTACAGTCAGGGAGTTCAGTCCAGACAGAACAACCAGACCACACGTAGACAAGAACTCAGGCATGTGCCAACCCTCTCCTCATGGCTGCATTCCCACACAAGGGAAAGCTGTGGCCGCACCAGCTTGTGGGTGGCAACCTTATGCCAACATAACGATGATGTGGGCCCAGGGAAGCAGGAAAGACACGAGGAAAATAAAATAAAATTTTAAAAGGATAGGTTTTTCAGTGGCCTAAACTGTGACCTAACATGACATCCTGTGTAACCACTGGGAATTTCAACTACTGGTTTCACTGGGAGAAGGGTAAATTAGAGGCTTTGAAAACACCAATTAGTTTGACTTTTTAGCAGCACATAAGAGATCTCTGGGAGAACTTAATGTCCCAGCTTTCTCCTTGTTCACTTAATATTTCATCTTTAAAACATATTTGTGCCCACTCTCTCTATCTTGCTTTAGTGCTAACTAAAATCCATTAAGTACTGATGTCAGAGTTCTTTTAAAAAGCTTTGGTTAAGTACAACTGAAGCAATACGCTGTATACTCAGTTGGTACGTGACTGTATTGTCTGCCTCATAAACAATAATCTCTGTAGTATGACAACTTTATTTTCTGTACACCAGCCTCGAAACTAATTGGATGAGGATTTCAAGCAATGATTAAAAGGCACTGCTAAAATAGCAGCAATCAAAAAAATGAAACAGTATTCAGACACTACATCTATTGGTGCCAATGTAATGTGGGTATTTTTTTCTTGTAATGAATGGTAAATGCTCCTGGATAAGATCAGACAGCTGAGTTTGTTTATCCCTGGAAGTTAATACTGGAAAACTCTGCACTGCTCTTTTCCAAAGTAAAGAGATCACAATATGGTAAAAAATTTACTTTTTTTTTAATGAATGGCCGAAGTCTGTGTGTTCCAGAGGTAATGGAGTTAAAACAGAAAAAACCAAACCACGTCAGTAAGCCACACTGACATTTCAAACGCTCACTGCTGCAATAAATGGCGGGTTTGCTTCTCTTTTTTTTTTTTTTTTTTTAATTTGCTTCTCAAAGGCAAAAATGGCTGTGATATTTAAATTAAAATTAGTTAATGAAGCTTAAATCAAATCTGATTCAAGATCATGAGTTTTAGCAGTGATGTAACTGATTAGAAGGCCATACCAAAATATTATTCAGACTGTGCTTAGTGAATATTAAGGTACTTCTTAGCTAAGCTGAAATCATGCAGGTATTTAGTTTATTTCAGAAGTACAACAACATAGGATATTTTTACTGACACAGTTTGTTGGATTTTAAAGAAAGCAAACATAGGCTTCTAAACAGCATTAGCAGCAAGGTAGCATGGTAGGATGTCTCTTCCTGAGATTAATGGTATCTTTTCATGCAACATTTACCATGCACAAGTTAAAAACAATCAGTGACATTTCATTTTTAGTTCTCTTTTTTGTATAGCTTTGGGCAGGACTGAATAAATAAAAATACAAAGCAAACTGAAACTTTTTTCTGATTCAGGATACTGGGCTTTCTGAAAAAAATGTGGTCCTGAGAAACTTGTAATCAGTGTTGGCTTCTTCAGAAAACACAAAATATCCATAATTTAGAGCCTGCTGTAATGAATATATCCAGCGTCTCATGTTACATTTCCAGCAAGCAGCACATACATCACATATTATTTTGCTATTTGTAAATATAATTTACTTACTTATTTACAATGAATTATATGAGGTCTTAGCAGAGCTTTACCAAGTCTCAAATAAATTATTTCTATTTATTGTTACGCATCACTGCTTCATCTGAAGAAAAATGGGTTTTCTTGTTGCCTCACTCCAGTATGGAAGAGAACATGAAGAGGTACATGGGTCTTGATGTTTCCAGGGGCATCTTATGAGGTCCCTCCATATATGTTCTCACAGCTTTGTTCTCCAGGCTTCACTTGGCCTACTCTCAAATGAAATTTCAAACTTTGAGGACTGTATAATCAATCATTTAACTGCTTGCAGATAGAGAAATCAAGAAGTCTTTCTTATTAATGCAGACATTATCTCTGATTCAACAGCTCCTCTGGTTTAACAGGTATCTACACTTTCTTTCTGACTATTTATCTTTCTCTCTCTTTTTTTTATTTTTTTTGTTTTTTTGCCTTTATACAGTGCTAGCTATTTACTACCGTGTGTCACAGGATACAAGCAAGTTATTGCAAATTGAGCAAATATAGGTAATCATCCTCTTGGTTATCAACCTTGAATGTGTTTGTGAGTGTTGTAAATGTTTTCTCCAAGTGCTACAAACGCTTTTTTTTTTTTTTTAAACTACCTTACAGTACTGTAAAGCTTCTATTTTCAGTGAATTTGATAGCTTGATGGGTTTGAATAACTCCAGATTGATAACTTATTTGTTTACTAAACTTGTTTCAGTTTTTATCCTCAAGGTTTGCCTATAGTGCTACTGATATATCTCATGTAGAAGTAGATGAATATAATGGATTGATTCTGGCCAGCAACTAAGTACGTACCCCAATGAACACCCACTCCCACATTGAGTGGGAAAGGGAGAAAAAAGGAAGAGCAAAAGCAAGTAAAAAAATACACGTTGTCTGAGGTAAAGATAGTTTAATAACTGAAGGAAAGAGACAAATAGTGATGGAAAAGCAATCACCACTAGCCACAATCAAACTGATGCCCAGTCAGTCTCCAAACAACAGTTATTTTAAAAAGAAAGCCACCCAGTTTTCGTTGCTGCAAATGACATTTTTCACCATGGAGTAACCCTTTGGTCAGTTCAGGTCAGCCATCCCAGCTCTGTACCCTCCCAACCCCTTACCTGTCCCTGGCCCACTCACCAGAGTACAGAGAAGCAGAGCGCACTCCAGTGCATCAGTAACAGCCAAAGCACTTGTGTGTTAGCAACACTGATTAAATCACAGATGCAAAACAAATCACCATACAGGCTGCTGTGGAGGAAATTAACTCCCTCCCAGCTATGCTCAATACAACAAACTTGGTCTGAACTAGGTGGCTCAGATACTGCTGAAACGCAATGATGGCAGCATAAATTACCTTATCCCTTGGCCTGCACAAGTGCTCCAAGGGCTAAGAAGGGTTGCACTAATGGTGAAGGATTTTCCTCAATAGGGATACTAGCAGTTTTTCTGCTTGACTAGCAGTGTGTTTTTATAGATGCAGTATCTTTTGGATCTTTCTGCCTTGGCCAAACTTGGTTGAAACTGGCTAATATTGAAAAGCTTCTGTAGGAGGGTTGATAGACAGCTCCACACACAAACAGGGTCAGACAGATAAGAAACTAGGAATAAACAAATAAACATATATATTTACAGTAAATTCTCACCATGCTACTGGGGAGTAGATTGAGAGAGGTGAAGCTAAGGAAGCTGAACAGCCTAATTTTATCATTAAATGATGTCTACATGAATCATTAAGCATCCAATCTTCAATTTTAATTCCCACATTGAATTGAAACCACAAGTTCCCTATTAATCTAAGGGAAGAGTTGCATACATTTGGATAGACAGCTGTGATAAATTGATTCATTTCTGCACGTTCCCTTTTTGAATCATAGAATCACAAGGTTGGAAAGGAGCTAGAAGATCACCTAGTCCAACCATTGGACTATACAGGAAGCATGAAGTTTGTTAGATTTCAAGCCAAAACCTGGGCTTTGTCCTGTGGTGTTAACGGATGTTGTTTCTACCAAGTTGTGGGGAAAAGGAAGCTGGCATTAATTAAAATATTCAAAACACATCAGTGATGAAAATTGCAGAAATCACCCAATTCATTTTTACCAAACGTTCCCTGTGTGTCTCTTGACTACTGACGAAGTTTGGAGCAACCCAACTCTTATCTCAGTTAAATATCTTACACTGATGGGATTACATCAGCTGCAGACATCTTGCCTTTTGCAGCAATTTAAAGATCACTTGGGCACAGGCAACGCAAATCCCTCATCACTAGGGAGGACGTTTGTCACAGGTGATTGCAGTCAAACTTATTTCTGTTGCAGCAGCTTGGTGATAAATGGATCATTGGACCAGCCTTCTCACTTCATGCAGCTTCTGAGTATGTAATGCTCTAGGGGGAAAAGATGAGAGGAGGAAAGACACTAAAGGGAATTTCAATTATCTTGATTTTTGCTCTGCTAGATTCCAGCTCAGACGCTATTTATTGTTAAGGGAAGAATAGAGAGTTTTTCCAGAGGGGGTTCTAATGCTGTTTATCAGTAGGTGACAGTGTTTGAAATAATGCCATGTATTTATAATCACATTTTTCTATTTAGGTTATCTCATGGGGATTCTTAAGCCTTTTTCTCTTTCCTAATTGAGGTTATATACTATGATGTCTGATAGAATAAAGCTGTATTGCTAGATAATAATCTTAATATATATAAATGAGGCACATTTTAAAAGAACTATTTTCACTCTTTATTTCAGGATCTAAAAATGCTGAAGTTTAAATAAGATGTTGTCTTCTTTGCCACTTATGCATTTTCTAACTTTTTTTCCCAGTGTTACCACGTAGCACCAACTAAATAAATAGTATTCTAGAGAAACTGAGTAAAATATTAAGAAGGTATCCTGCATTTAGGAGATAAAGACATATGTGCTATATACTTTTTGGAACGCATACTAATCTGTAACATTTATAGAGTTTTTGTTTCTTTCTGTAGGAATAAGAAAAAATCTCTCCAACTCTTTAACAGTTTTTTTAGTAAGGAAACAAAAATGAAATTCTTCATGATTGTAATATGAAAGCCTATGTAATGTGGGTTTCGAGAATACACGTAACATTTTAGCAAACTGCTTAATGGAAAACCCAGAAGCAAATGTTAGCACCACCAAGTAAGTGCCCTTAGGGCATCCTCTTTGTAAAAAGCAGTGCTTTGTCAGACACCATTTATCCAAAATATGTTTGAATGTTTCTGGAAACTCTAAGAATTTCATGTTTGCTGAGAAAACGTAATAATATTAAATCTTCCCATGTAGCTATAAAGCCTTTGCAGTTCACTCGTGTCCTACCCCAGTAAGAAGGGGAAGGAGCATTTTGGTTTTATTTTGAATGTAAAGCTTTATGCCATCTTCACTTCCTAATTACAGCCATAGTGAATTTTTGTTTCACAGCTGCTCATGGTAACAGTAGCACCATAGAAGCCTACTGATCTACCACTAACATTTTGATCAGGACTCATTCAAAAATAGTCTTTGCATCGATAAAAGGTAAGAAAATTAAATTTGAAAGCTAAAAGTTCATATGCAATTGAAAAAGTTTTGCTGTGAAGGGAATTGTTAGGGATACTTTTACCTTTAGGGGTTACTGTCTCTTACATGTTGACTCTACAGTTTTTGTTAGCAGTGGTTGTAGCTATTATATCTAAATGACAGTTTTCACCCTGTACACACAAATGGCTGCAATATCAAACGTCCCGCTCTGTAGCACAGAGGAAGCTGTTAAGCAGGATAATATCACAATTTCATCCTCCTTCTCCTTCTGTCTGTTTTTAGATTAATTCTGCACAGGTCAGTCTCTGCTAGCAAAGAGTGCCACACGTATCACTGAGAGAGGCTGTGTATGAGGATATATGGGACTAAAAGTTGTATATAAGATAATGGGAGAACTGCATATCTGAAATCTGGATTTAATGAGACATCCTTCTCTAGGTGACAATCCAGATTCCTTGTTTGAATTTGTTACTAAGTTCAATTATGTTTCTGTAATGAGAATCTACCTCATCTTAGATGAGGAGCATCACTCTCTCAAATACCTTTTTGGTGTATGGAAAGCATTTAGAGGAAGCACAAACAGAACAACCATAATAGGCCCTGATTTTTCTTCCCTTTTTTCTGAAGTGCAATGCCAGTGATTATGAAGGAAGCTGCTTACTAACTTCAGCAAGGATGACAGAATCAGACTCATTCCCCTAGCCTCACTTTGCAGGTAAGTTGTGAAAATAAATTTGGACACTAGAAGAGTCAGTACCATTAAAAATGCCCATGAGGGTTTCAACGTGCAGTTGGTGTTGGGGAAAAAAAAGCCAGTTTTGAATAACTTCTCAGTAAGAGAGGCCTGCTTCTTCTGTGCTTTGAAAAAGGGAAGGGGCAAGCCATAGAAACTAAAACCAATGGAACATACAGGTAACATGTGAGTAACCTGAGTAACATATGAGAAGGCAATCAGTTTGCACAGGCTTCTTTCATTCTGTCATTTTCACTTTTGACCTTGTAGCATACCTTTTGATGTTAGCGTGTGTAGTATACAAAAGCAAACTGAAGCAGTGCCTCAAAGCACTTGCCAGCTCTGCAAAGTGCATCATCTCATGCTGTATCAACAGTTCGCTACTCAGAGTCATTTCAAGATCTGTCACATGTCTCTGTACTGCCACCTCCTTAGGAGGTCTAAGTGTTGGGAGGGAAAGCAGTCACTGTGCCTCTATTACCTCTTTGCACAGATCTGGTTGCAGTGAAGACCTTGGCAAACGTCCTCTAAAGAACTTTGCTGATGTGGCTGAAGACATAGCCATGGCTGTCCTTGTGCCTTGCCCTTCTTCTGTGACTTGCCTCATCCCCACAGGCAGTAAACAGTGAACAGTTAGCCTTTGGAAGTGACTTTGTTGAAAGTTTGGGCTGTGCCTTGGCACGGTTAAGACACAGGCATATGTTGTTCCTGCCTCTCCTACAGGAACCATAACCCCAAGACAGAAGGGACAGCCAGGAGAGACCTGAAAATGCCCCTGCAAGATTTGCTGGAGTCTGACTGATAAGAAGTCCCTTAACTATCTTGGTATACACTTGAAGGGCCACAGTCTCCTGTAGTGTAAATCAGTTCTCATTGCTGTGGAAATCCATGAATCTATGCCAGGTTTACATCAATTAACTCACTCCAAAAATGTTCATAGTTCATGTCCTGGTAAATATTTAGAGAGCAGAAGGCAAGGTTCCCCATACTCTGCACTGACCAGATGCATGTCAGGGTAGGGTATATATTTTCCTCTATGGAGCTGCAGGTCCATCCCTGCCTGCCCTCACATTACCTCCAAAAAGAGCACCCACAACCTTCTCCAGTGTGATTTGCAGTCCCTCAGAGGGCCGAACAAAACATTAGGGGAATTTAACTCTTGCCTAATTAAGACAATGCAATCAACCGGTCCACAAACATTTAAGGATCTTCTTAATAACTCTATTTTTATCAGCTTGAGTGCCAGACACTGTAGCATGAGGTGATCATTAGTGCTAATATTTGGAGTCAGGGAAGTTTTTCTCTTGCTGTATTTTCTTCCCTTGTAAGTATTTGCTCTGTTAACCCACTCCCTCTGCCTTTATTGTGCCAGCTCCCATTTGCTGCTAACATCCAGTATAAAGTAATTTGCTCTAAATTACTTTAAAAATATGGCCATGCTTCCAAAAATACATTCTGAAGAGGCAGGTGTGATTTTAAGAAAAATGAAAGAAAAATATTAGGACTGCTTGAAGTGGGAAAAAAAAAATGGGAAAGAAGTTTCTTAGGAGATTTTTTTTTTTTTTGTGGGAAAATGTATGTTTGCTTTCATTTCTTAATTCGTATGTGTCTTTTAGATTCCTAAAATATAATATACCTATAATAAAATAATGCTTACAAAATTAAACAATTTCTGTTACCCAAGCCTATCAATGGTTGCCTCTATTTAGCTGTGGAGTATTATTAGTAATATTTTAGCAGGTCCTACAAAGTCTCATTGTGCTTCACATCAGTCAGTTATGAAAAAGAATACTGTTCATGCCCAGTGCCTCAACCCAGATGGCTGGCCTTTCCTCCCTTCACTCCCTGTAGTGTAGTAAGAGCAATAGTCTGGAGCAAGTTGCACTTGTTGATGTATCAGATTCTATGAGGTTCTGTTCCAATAAGAGAACTGGAACTTGATGGCAAAATGCTATGAAGGACGTTGAACTCCTCCAGCTCAGATATACAGTGATTCCGTGCATAGCCTAGAAATCCTGTTTGGCTGCTGGATAAAGCATTCCACTCAAGGCAGAAGCCTGACAGAGGGTTTGTGCAAACCTTACTTGTATTCTTACGTGACAGAGGGCCCTGCAAAGGCAAGTTGCTGCTATTTGAAACTCAGTATGTCTTGGCGAATGGAGCTAGCTATAAGTTGTCTTCATAGAAGCTGTTTGGGAACTGCTGAGTCACGGCCTGAACCTCTGATCACCTGAGGTGAGCAATGAGTCAGCCACAGAGCACAGGTGAAGGCAATTCACCTGTGTTACTGGAAGGGGTGGAGCCTGGCTCCACTTTCCTAGACCCCATTTAAGAGCTGACTACCAGTGGAAAAGGATCTCTTCTGGAGATCCTCTCCTCTGGAGTTTCATAGTGAGCCCAGGATATGGGTAAGCATCCTAACTATTCTCTTTTGGTATAATAACTGCTTAGCCAAACTCTCTGGTGTATTTCATAATTATAACATCTGTACATTCATTGATTATATAGAAGCTTTCTTAATTTCAAGTGGACTTTAGGAAGGTGCCTTTGGCTCAACTCATTGCAGGAGGCAGGGTCCAGCTGGTGTTGTTTCATCAGTTACAATGCAGGTTTATTATCTGAGTTCATTTCTTTGCCTACAAATAGCGTTTGAATTAAAATGGGGAAAAAAAAAAAAAAAGAAAAAAAAAAAAGTAGTTTCCACCTACTACGTAAAATGATTTTCCTCCAAAATGGGCTTTTTAAATCATTTTTTGTTATGGTAACACAGTAGGTCTTTTAATGGTGCTACTGTAAGATGTAGATTTTTCAGCCTTGAATTTTAGAGCTCCTTTATCTGTCCTGAAATGAATGCTTTTTTTTTTTTTCTTCCTTGATATTCCCCTCATTAAGAAAAAGAGATGGCAAAAGAAGGCTAGAAGAGGACAGAAGAGGACATTTTCAGTGTATAAACAAACTCAGACTACTCTGTCACTGTTGTCTTAAATGCTTCAACCCATTGTGGGTGGCAAGAGAAAGCAAAGCCTTGGGAGTCAGCTGCAGCCATCTGTCTCCAAGGAGCAGCTGGTGGTGAGATGCTGATGTTAATGAAATGGGATTGCTCAGTGCTGTTGATTTACTGCAGTTAGTGTAGCTAATTCTGACTCATGCTACCATTATGGCTACCATGCCTTGAAGGCAGCAGGCCGTGATCATAGTGATTGTTGATAGTGATGATAAGACTTATGACACCAGCGGTTCAAAAAAGGTGTGAAAAGTAGTAAATTCAGTGTGTTTATGTCGACTGTTTTGTGCTTGAATTGCCAAATGACAGACCCCAGAGCTTAGACTCGTGATTCTTAGTCATCCAGTTGTTGATGAGTAGGAAATGACATTAGCTGTGTTATTCAGATTGGGGGGAAAAGAAAAGACACAGTGGGGTTTCTAGGATTAATAACATTGCTAGCATGAAATTAAGAATATGAATAAGTCTGTGTCAAATTGCTCTGAAAACTGTTAAACCTGCTGCTGTGTCGGAGGGCTGGGTCTGAGCTGGCACTTTCAGGGTATAGGTTTATCAGGCTGTATGTATACAAGACTTTTGCTAACATTTGGTGACGTGAGCTCAGAAACACCTGAACTTGTATGATAAATGACGCTGACAGTAGGACTACAATGAAGATTCTCTGCAGAGCAAGAGGTGTCTCTTAGTAGCAGTTGAATTCCTTTGGCCCAATCAATTTTGAATACGTCAAGCAGAAAAATACCTGACGTACTCAGCTTTGGTACTTCTGTATTTTCTTCTGCATTTCTATAAAACTACATTGTTGGTGTTTCTAATGACACTTTTATGCCTTCTAACACAAGCTTGTGTCTTGTCAAAGTAATTCTGATTCTGGGTTATTCTGGGTCAGTATTTCCCAGAAAACAGTCCATTCTGTGTACCATATATAGTAGTTTCCAGGAGGGATTATCTAAACTTGTGATCATGACATCTATCTGACATAAGACCCTGGGTACGTGAGTCCTTGAGTCCCATCTGTGAAGCAGTCTTCTCATGAGGTGTGGCTTAGCAACTGTTCCAAGGTACAGCCTTAGTACTGGTGTTTAAGTGGCCATCTTCAGGAGGCTCACCCCTCCAAGGCTGACTGGGAGAATTTCCCAGCTTCTGGCTGAGCCTTTTGGGCATTTAGCCATCGGGTCATTTAGCAGAGTTTCCTACTGGACAGGTATTTGGAGCCAGGCCTTTGCCTCAGGCCAGAGGAATGTATCAAATGGTGAGAGGGACCCAGCTGCCTAAAGCAATGCAGTGCTCTGAAAATGCGAGGACTGGTTTCAGGACAGCCTGCCAATGGTTTTTAAGAGGTTGCTAATTACTATCAATTGCAGTATTTTTCCAGAGGAAGTGGATTGCAATTTCAAATTCACAATTGCAATTTCATGCAAACCACAAAGGAATCATCAGAATAAGCAGTCATTAATTAATCATTCTCCTGTGCTGGATTCAGCCTGCTGACCAGCTCCACACCTGATTGTCATACCCCAAGCCTTTCAAAGGATCACAGAAGGAAGATCTAGCAGAGCAGCTTGTGCTGTGAAGCAAAGGCAGAACACATGTGGAGAATAGTGGCCCTTATCCTGAAGCACTGGGGGCTGTTGCTGTGGTTTGTGCTGGAGGCCATGCTAAGCACTGAGACAGATGAAAATTCAGCAGCTGGAGGCCAAAATAAGCTCTTGTGCAAATAACCTGGCCTTCTATGTCTTGCAGTGGTTGTGGCTGTGCCACTGCACCTTGGCTGTAGTGTCTTGGACAAGGTATGCAATCATCACTTGGTTTGCACCTATGCAAAGACATCCCTGCATTACATGGCCTTCATACATCCCTAGCAAGTCATTTTCAGCTTTGCCCCACATGCAGGCTGCAGACCAGCAGAGTATAGTATTGAGTTGGAACCAAATGCATAAAATTTTACAGTTAAGGTTTCAAAGATTAAAAAAAAAAAAAATCAGAAGATGCCAACAAAGCAATCAGAATTTTGCACACTGAGCCAATTACACTTCAGGAAGTATAACATCACACTTCCAACAATGTTTCCTTTACAGCCTGTCTTAAGAGCATTGAGGAGTCTTAAATACTCTTAGCGCTGCAAGGCTGATGCTCCTGAAAACTATTGTCATTTTTCTTGCATGTGTTCAATCTGATTGTCCTTTCAGGGTCTTATTTAGTCAGAGTACCTTCCTCCCTCTTGCCAAAAAATGATCTGATGTCTTACTATGATTTCCAGTTATTTTATATAAAACCATTTCTTTCTTAAATAAGGTTTCCATTCTCACCCGAGTGTTTTATATTTAGGAGCTACTTCCCCTTTTCTCTGTAACTCTGTATTTTTCTAGATACAGCATCCTTATACAAAAGGCAGGAGCTGTGTCTGTATTTACTGAGATCAATGAAATGCCACCAAGAGCAAGATAAGGACAGATCATAAAAAGCAAAGGACTGAGGGGGTCAAGGCAGAAAACCTGTCTCCTGCTGTGACACTGCAAATGTGTAGGTTCCCCAGACCACAGTTTTAGAGGAGTAGAATGATTAACTGGGGGAAAACAGAGGAAAAGTAATGCCCCATATGTTTTCCATACAGAATGCACAGATTTGCTATATCTGGGAGAATAAGACTGTCTAATTATATAGTGTACCATATTTTTT